TCTGTTTGACGTTTGTCTGCACTCGCTGGAGTCACTACTGTGCTTCACATCTCCTAACTTCTTCTGCAGGCTGGGCTCCTTCTGGTATCACCCAGGATGCATTGGCCCCCATCAGACTGCTTCAGTCAGTGCCAGAGGGGAACACTCAAGGAATACTCATGCCACAGAAAAAGTATTTGTACTAAAAAAGCCATAAGGCATACAGATAGTGCATTTACACAGATTAACATTGAACTGAGACAAAGCAAAATGCTACAATTCAGTTCAACAAATGCAGACAAAGTTGAGATCAGGAATATAACTATTTTATGCTAGTAAGAAATCCTGGGACAAAGCATCTTGATGTAAATTCTTTCCAAAACTTTCTGCTCCATTACAGAACTTAACAGTTTCATCTGACACAGGATGGAAACTTTTCTTGAAATATCAAAGTTTCTCATCACATTTAAAACTTTTTTTTTTTTTTTAAACCAGTGCTGGCCTAGTGAGGATACTGTAATTCACAGTCAGTAAAACATTCACCGTAATTTCTTAGAAAAGTTAAAAAGGGAGCAAAGTTTTGTCACAAAATAATTAACACAGACTGAAGTGTACCACAAGATTTATGGCTTTACATCAAAGCAATTTTATGTACTCTCTTTATACAGTAAATAGCTACATATAATATGCAGGACAAAAATATGACAGTTTCAGTATTTAATATCCAATTTAAATGTAGGCATCCAAAAGGAAATATTTTTACACCTTTTCAGTAGTCACTTAGCTCAGTAGTTGGCTGCAGTAATCCTTACTGTTTTCAGGAACTGAGTGGAGCTATATTTATGAGAACTCCCATCAAAGTTAACGTATGACAAAGTTCCACTGCAACTCTCTGAAAAGCAGAGTTATTTTAAAAGAAATTCAGACACTGAAGTACATCGAAATGTGTTGTATCCTAAAGCAGAGTTTAATACTCCACCGGTCAGGAACGTGATGCTAAATTCAAAAGGCACTCTGAGTTAAACTACAGTAACTCCGGTCCACAGGCATTTTAGATTCTTGGTATTGTATAGTAGAAAAATTATATTTATTCAATATAAATTGCTTTAACCTCTGTCCTAGCAGTCAAATTATATTGCACTTTCAAATATTCTGTGTATGTTGTGATAAAAATCTAATATTTACATGTTGGGTTTGCTAAAGAAAAATACATCACTTTCAAAATATTTTAAGAATCAAGTTTTAACATTTATATTTCTAATATAACCAGAGGCTACATCAAAGATACAATTTCATAATTAGCTCCTATTCTAGTAAACATTTTTGGTCCTTCAAAATATTTTGTTATGTTGCAATTCATGTTGACAACTATGTCACTGTTTGCCTGAACTTGCAGTAGCCAAACAGACAGAACATTTAAATAAATAAACACATAATTTCTGAAGAAGTAATAGCTTTGGAGTTTTGTAAACAGCCAGCTATGGAAAGCCTGTAAAAAGATTCAGTTTGCCATGTTATGATTTTAATTGGCAATACTTTAGACTCTGCCAGGGTAGAAAACAGTTCGGTAGGCACATAGGCACCAAATCAGTTTGGAAAAACAAGACCAACCTAAAAAAATACTGGTTGTTCCTTATGTTGTCATAAGGATAAATAAAAATGATCAAGAAGTAACATCATCCACTGAAACCAAAAGAGACATTCATGTGATCTTAAAAAAAAAAAAAAAAAAAAAAAGGGAGGGAAAAAATAGCAACTCTATTTTTAAACACAATCTAAAGGAAATGAACAAGTAATATATGATAACCAAGATTTACAGGATGCAAAGGTTGGCAGGTGAAAATGAGCACTATGAATTTATAGAAATACTGATTTAGACAGAACTGATATCTTCGACAACTGCATCTCACAGAAGATAATCATTCATTTCTCAATCCAAATTTGAAGAAACGTTCCAAAGCTGTGTTTGGTAAAATAAATTCAGTGCAAAGCGCTAACTCCGATGAAATTTTGCTGACATCTAGATTGCCCTACATTCCTGTTAGAACATGAGGGGTAATGCAAAAGAAACATAACAGATGTACACTTATGCCATTTACATATAAATATATGTATATGCATATTCTAGAAATTCAGATGATGCTAGGAGGTCTCATACGTGTGTTGGATATATTTTATATAGTACAGTTGTAGTTTAAACGTTCAATTTCATGACATACCCAAACTGCTTTAAATGTGCATCTGCTGTGCTTCTCTAGATAGTTTTTTTATTCCACATAGAATAGTTCTCTCTTAGTTTTCATCACTAGAAGTTGATGGTTTGTCAGAACAGAGAAAAAACTAGTTGCATACTTTTGTGGAGAATGCAGGATTTGCTCTTTATCCTTGCTATTTATTGATGAAATGATGAAATGTTTCTGTTCAAATAGAAGCAAGAATTGTTCTGTTCAAAATCAATAACCCTGTTGGTAAACTTACTGTTAGTAGAGACTAAGAAGAGCAGTCACAATATCTAATCTAATTGCTTCACCTGTGTAGTCAGTGGAGCCTTCAAAGGGCGACTGAAAATCCAGTTCAGATGCCTACCCTTTTTTATAGGCCGTACAGAGAAACGTTTCTAAGTTTGGCGATGAAAACTCTCCTCCTCCTCTTCCTCCCAAAGAGGATTCAGAGAGCATCCAGTGTTATAACAAATTGATTAACATCTGTCTTATCCACTAATAAACTGCATACCTTCCAAGCAACGGCCAACGCTATTCAAAAGGAGATACCAAGAATTAATATAGCTTCAAAATGTAACTATATGACATGATTGGTCCATAGGTTAAACAGTTAAGCTGCAACTGTACTATACTTTAGCATACACATCAAACTCAATTGTTGTAACCGAGTTAGCAGCCACATTTGCCTTTTTCTTGCTCCTCGTTCAGTTGTTCTGTAGAGCTGTGCCCATTGGAGCGCACTACCCCTTCTGGGATCCAGGACTTATCCACACACCGTTCCATGCGCTTCATGATGAGGTCCAGCAGAGTATCAATGGCTTTGCTTACATTATTCCCATTAGCTGCACTGGTTTCAAAATACGGTATTCTGCAAAAGATAAAAAACCCCACAAACTTAAATCATGCAGTTTATATTCACAGGAACAAAACCAATGCATGATTACTGGCACATACTTAGAAAACACACAAAGGCTGTTACTGATACTCCAGCGGAGAGAGGGACTAAGTGCTCAGCGGTCTGAAATACAAACAAAATGGCTCACACTGTAGGTGGGGCAGAAGGATAAGCATGAGTTTGCACCGTGGAATCCACATTTTACAGAGAAACTGGTAGGTATGAGTTCCCAAAGTTATGCTCCTGAAGTCTGTTTTTCCAGTTCTGCTCACTGAAAAGAAATTCAATTACTTTATGTGGCTTTGTCTGCATATAAGCATTTTCTTTACTGAACTCCTCATCAGCTACAGTGCCATTGCAAGACAGGAGCGCTAGTATTCACGTTCCCCTGCAGGTAAGGCAGCAAAGATCCCGAACGTGGCGCTCTTGCCATCACTACAAAAGGAGTCATGCAATTGGTGCAACACTTGTTTTAAAACGTATGTCAACAGCCCCAACGGATGTAAAATGTAAATGTAAAATGTAAAATGCCTTAGGTGTATATCTCCAGCATAGAAGACTTAGGGATAAGATATTCTTCCTTCTGTTGAATTCACCAACGCCTCCTCCCTTAGTGAGCACTCCAGTTCTCACATGCCCCCATCCATAGCAAACGACTGCAGACGAACACATGAGTGAGCTGCCAGACATGCTGATCACAGATTCAGATTTTGGAGGAAGCAGTGCCTCCATGTTAAAATGGAGAATGCATACAGAATATTTTCTCCTCTCTTCTCATGGCTCTGAATGCCCCATTCCTATCAAGATCGGAAATAGCAGATATGAGTGGCAAGACAGATAAAGGAGAAAACAAAATAGAACCAGGGGAATGGACAAGAGATATGAGTTCGGGTTGCCAGGATGAATGGACACAGATGAAAGAACAAGAAGGGTAAGTGAAAGCATTATCTAAATAAAAGGAGATGAACAAAGCTAGAACAAACAAAAAAAAGCTTAAGGAAACGGAAGACTGAGTAAAAGAAGATGATAATAAGGATGACTGAAAATACAAGTCAGAGGGGAAAAGAGGAAGAAAAAAGCAGGAATTCAGGAATAGGAAGATGAGGATAATTACCTCCAGGGGATGCTTATGCATTTGAAGAGGTTGATGAGAAGGGGGCAAGAGACCGTCAAGAGACGGGAAGAGGGTGATAAACAAATAAAAAACCTAGTGGATGCTGACATTTACCAGTTTGAAGCTAGTCACTGCTTTGATGGAGGATGACTACGGATGTAAGAAGAGAACTCCATGCAGTTAATAGGCAGGAGATGAATGCAGAATATTCCTTCCATTATTTTTTGAAGCATAAGGCTGGAAAAGTTAACTTTGGAGTCAAAGGGAAGAGGAGGAAGAAGAAACAAGGAGAAGAAAATACTGGGGGTTTCTATCTGTATACTAACATCAGGATAAACAAATGTAACCAGTATCAGGAGCCATGGATAATAAATAACAGTTCCGATTAAGGAGAAGGGGGCATGGCACTGTCTGCAGGCTCTAAGGACACAATGAGGTTGACTAAATTTAATTCCAACTCCTGCCTGAAAAAAAAAATCTAACTCTAGCATAACAGTGAAAGGGCAGATGCCTGCTGTGGCACTTTAAACTGTACCCTAAACCAGTAGAGGACCCAGAGGATTTTTACAGAGAAAGAAATGTATTATTTAAGGCTCCCTGCAATCATACCCCTTTTAACACTAAGTTACGGCCCATGCTGTATCAGACCCGATCAGAGTATTTTCAAGCAAACACCTGCATGCTTTCCCCCAATCTGCCCCTCCATACTTGAGAACTGCTCCCGGCATGTGACTTCCAAATTATCCTGCAAACTCTCACTTTTCTGGAAGACTTCTGAAAAACCTTGACAAAGTTTAGGCTGGGGTGTGAGGATACCACTTCCTGTCATACTGATTGCGATCCCCCCTGCCACTGTATCTTGTTTCATACTTCAACTGCAAACTCTGTTTAAAAGGGTTATCTTGTGTTTGTACAGCACTCAGTCCACCTAGCTCTTGGCTAACAACAAGAGTTTCTGAGCACCTTGGCATCGAACATATATTGCTGCTTTTCATTACTGTTGAGGGTCAGGGTGTTTCAATATTTGGCTTGTAGGCTTTGACCTTCGGTGCTCAGTGCTCCCACATGGTGGTGCTAGAGCAGCTACTTTAGTGCTATTCCCCAAGTGACGGAAATAATCACTTCATCATTTCAAATATTTCTCGTTTATCTCTAATTTGCAAGATCCAGTGAGTGATCAAAAATGTTATATTCCTGTCTCAAACTCTATGTCTCCTACGAACTTTTGCAAAATACATCACCTACCAGTACAAGGCCTTTCCACAGAAAGGATATTCAGGATCACATACTTCTGTCACCAGCAGACTGTTCGCTGCAGCAGGATTTATCTTGCTTCCTCCCAGCAGCACTTTGGGAAAGTCTAGCAGCTCCACATGGCAGAGAACTCTGTAACTGCCTGCAGATTGGATGTGATCTATAACTTTGACTTTTAGTTCCCTGTTCCTAAATTAAGTTGGCATTATCAGCCACCACGATAAATGTTTCATAAATTGGTTTTTGCAGAAGGTGAAGTGACATGCAGAAAAATCTCTTTCAAATCTTTAAGAAACTGCTGCATTCCGTCTGCTGCTGTTCAATCCCAAAAGTTTTTGCTTCTTCATTAGCAGCCAGCTAAAATACCATATGCACTTGCTGTTATCTGTGTGACACGGAATTCAAACAAGCGTTTTGGTAGGAGCAGGAAAAGGGAAACAGGTAATATTGCATTAAATCCATTTGTGTCTAATACACAATTACCTTCAGATTTACCTCTAATGATTCTTCAAGGTCAAGGAAAGCTAATTTGTGACTATACTTGCGATAGCAAACAGCGTAGCATAACAGGACCAGGCCTGCAGAACAAGACAAGTAGGGCTGAGGACCCAAAGTTCACATTATAGGTGTTTTGCAGGTCTCTGGACAAGCCCTATTTTGACCCCCTGGACTGAACACACATTAGTGACTGGAGCACATCATCTGGTTTAGTTTTTAATTGAAAAGAAATTCAGTTCACGTGCTGCAAGGCTACTCCATAATGTGAACCAAATCACCACAAACGGCTCAGAAGACTTACTTCAAAAACACATATCTGATCCTCACTAAAATGCAAATATAGTCCAGAGATGAGACTCATGGAACAGCTAATGGGGTTCAAGAGTCCTGTGGAATTTACTAGTATGCCATCGGAAGAAAGCTCTGCCACTGTTCCTTTAGGGACACATGACCACAAGCTGGTAGGGATGGGGAAAGGCAAGGCTGCCCTATCCTTCAGCTGCCCTGACTGTTGTTCAGTTTTGAGTCTCTCAGGGAAAGATTAAGAGAATAATTAGATGTCTTCAAGAAAACACGGCTAAGGATTAGTACCTTTTGAGGACAGCCACTAATAACTCAGCCAAGGTACAGGCCCAGCAAAATTCCTTGAACAATTGAAGGAAAATTGAACAGCTGAAAAGAAAGGGCGAAGAGGAGAAAGGGTAGCACAGCACACCATGAACAACTTGGGGAGGAACACAGAGAACTTGATCTGGACCAGAATCAGCCTTTTGTTGGAATCCAGCACTCTAAAATAAACTCTTTGGATGCCTGCAAGCGGTCCAGAGGCTCTCGAGGAAACTGAGGCAGCGTGTTTCAACAGCCATGCCGGTGACAGCAGCTGCCCGACAACAAACTTTTGTGATAAAACTCAAACTGTAAATTAGGCTATCTTTGCTTAATACTATTTTTGTTTTTCTCAAAAATCTGAGATGGGTTCTCTGCGCCCTGAAGAAAGCCTCAGCACAGGTAAGAGCAAGTCAGACCACTATTATTCATCTGCCTTCCCAGCTAAATTCCACCTCTTTTGTAAATCATTTGTGAAATGATTTACTTTATTTCCTACCAAGGAAAGGGGATCACTTGATCTCCAGTGCAAGACTATCACAAAATTAGTTATGTATTTTTAGGCAAAGCGGAAAACATTGACCTCTGACAGAAACAAGGTATTGTATAGGCCAGTTAAGTGTTCTAAAATGCTAATTCTCACAATAACCTTCCAGTATACAGAAGCGGCACTAGAGAGAGCATATTTCATTTTGCTTTAAACAGAACAATAACTGGAAGGAAGTTACTTACCCATATTTTTCTGCAAGTTCCTTTGCCTCTTCTTCTTTCACCATTCTTTGGTCTTCCAGATCACTCTTGTTTCCACATAATACAATGTCAGGGTTTTCACAATATGCATGCATTTGTAGCTGACCTACAGGAACAACCAAAAAAAACTGGGCTCACATCTTGCTGTTCTCACTAAGAACATTAGCACATTCAAGGGGATACAAGAACTTCAGGAAGATGACTCTTAGAAAGAAATAAAACAAGTGTATTCTCAGTTACCTAGCAGGACTTCTGCTATTGCACAGAGAAGCCAGAGAGCAGGTGGACATCCACTGTTACGTACCCAGAGCTGGGGAGCAGAAGCCTGATAACATTAGCACAGAAGCTGCGTATTTGTAGCTCAAGGAGTCATGCTTGCCAAGTATCTTCAGTGAGCTACTAGGAAGGGAGAAAGAATACTTTCCCTCTTCTGATGTGCCACGGGTTTGGGAACTGCTTTCCCTAGACACACCAGCCTCGTAACACTCGCTTTCCATTAAGCCTTGCTGGCAAAGCTGAGGCTGAAGCTTTGCATAGGCTTTCCACAGACTTAAATTGCTGAATGACACCACAGTTAGGGATACAAAGTCTTCTCAGCTTGCTTTCACATACATGCAAAGCTGAATTTCAGGTAAGCACTAGAAATCACCACTAGCAGTTATTACAATTATGAATGCAACATTTACTTTCTTTCTCCCTAGAAAGCCTTAAAAACCAGAATTTTCAGTTGTAACCATTTCTCAGAAAGGCCTCCATATTTGCAAACATAGCCCTGCAAGCAAGCAGGAACAAAATGCCATACTTATCCAGTTCCTGACGTTGAGGAAGCTTTGCTCATTTGTCAGATCAAAGAGTAGGAGAAACCCCATGGCATCTCTGAAGAAAGCTGTTGTCAGGCTACGAAACCTAGACCATTGAAGTGAAGTTAGTTGGCACAGCTGATAAGTTAATTTGAAAATATCACTGTATAATGTTATAAAACATGTAATTTAAAACTCAACTAGCTAGAACAAAATATTCATCATAACTATTTCTGCTGATAGGGAGACTGGCTAACATGGATGGCTAACATTACTGCGGCCTGATCCAGGGCTCAGGAAGTCAAGGAGACCTCCTACTCAAGCCTGAGAGCTTTAGCTCAAGCTCCATATTGTCAAGCACACCTTGATCAAGAAATTAGAAGAGGAGCAAAGTTTAAACAACACTGAAATTTGTTGCTGTACACATTAGTACTTGATTTTAAGATAATCAGCTGCTAACATCCTAGTCTTTTAATAGATGACTAGAAAAGAATCCTTTGACCTGACTTCATTTGTCTGACTTTCCTAAGACCTCAAGATATTCACAATAACAACACTCATTATCACTATAAAAGATTTAAAAATATCTATATTAATTGGCCACGAAAAAAATAAACTAAGGTTTCCAAAAGACAAAGAGAAAAAAAACACAGTTTTAATGTTTTAATTCAACACAGCTGTAACTTAATGAGTACATGGGAAACGGCTTCCATCACTGTTAAAATCAGAGTAAAAGCACTTATCCGTCTTGAGTCATACAACTAAAATACAACAAACAATAAAGAAAATTCATAAACTTAGTTGTGTTCGGCTAGCTTCATGACAACTGCCTTGCTTGCTAGATAGAGAGAAAACACATACCTTTCCTGCCCTGCAGTATCCCAGAGCTGAAGATGTATCCTCTGCCCTCTGCCACTAACACCATCTGGCCCATTGGGTCTATAGACCTACAAAAGACAAGTTTGCAAGACAGTGTTAGCCAGCCTCTATAGAACAGCCTCTGTAGAGCCAGCCTCTACAGAACAGCAAACAAGCCCTGATATTTAAAGTCGTTGAATGAAGCAAAACTAGCATTTCTGACTCAAGGCCTAACTGCAGCTCAAACCTCCTTATGACTTTATATGACTTAGTAATGGGGTTGTATTTTAATTCTGCTTGTAGCTAATATTTAAAAACAAGAGGAAAAGTGAAACTGGAGAAAGTTTTCAACAGACTGTGGACTGCAAACAGATATTTAGAATGGCAATTGCGTTTCCTTGGGCAAGTTTTTTTTTTATTGCAATTTTCTGTTTTTTACTGTTATCTTGTATCCTGTTCAAATGAAAGTGTAATTATAAGAGAGCAATAATGGGATCATGCAATCTGGCAATATATTTGTACAACTAACAGAATCTCATTAGCAAACACAATACACTCAGAAAGATAATGACATTTCTTCTTAACTGCCAAAAGATTGCTGAAAAAGAGCTGAGGGTAGATCTTATCATATTCTAGCTCATAAAAGCAGAAATTGATGTTAATAATAAATGCTGAAGAGTTTAATCAGCATGAAAACATAAATAAGGACATCTGTTAGCTTTGGAAGGATCAGATAAAAATAATATTCATGTATTTTAGAACACCTCTGGTTGGGTCATCTTCTTTTCATCAAACTCTCACTGTACCTTAGATTACTGGAGTTACAAATATATCTTTAAGGACACGTAGGCTTGCTGAATTTGTGGATAACGTGAATCAGGTTGCTAAACATAATCCTTACCCTGAGTTACCAAATATACTAATCAAGTAACCCTACCACATTTACCGTCCCACAAAAGGAATACTAACTTATTCAAGAGACCAGCATCTCATTAGGATATTTATTCCTTCCCACTACTGTGGTGCATGCCATCATTCAGAAGTCAGTCTACACAATGCCCATTCACCATACAGGTTTCTGGATGTCATACGGGGAAGTCGTAGCAGGCTGCACTGAAAGGTGCGTGACGCTGCTGCACGCGAAAGGAAAGGGCACGGTGCTGCCTCAGTTCCTTAGGGCAGAAGGGACCAGCATCCGATTGGTTACAATGTAGTGCTCTGTGGCCTCAAATCAAAAATATGTTTGCCTTACATTTCACAACAATTCTGGAGATAAAAAAGCCCATTTTATTTTTCATAATTTTTCTCTGGTACTGGCAACTCTTTAGGAAGAGAGATCAACTCCTTATATCGTGATACACCATTTCATTCTCATATTTTCAAATGGTTTTAAAATAAACATTTCAGTTCACAAACAGTAAAACCCTTTTTGCTTCAGCCCCATCAGTCCTTGCATAGGGAGTTCACCAATAAAAGTGCTTCTCCGGGTAGTATGAGCCCAGCTCACCAAGCAGCTGCGCTCATCGACACTCGCTAAAGAGCAACAAGAGGTCACTGAGAATCAGCTATTCTTATTTTAAGTTTGGGAGAGCTAGGGGGGCAGAATAATTTCCTTATCAGGAGATTAATTACACAGTAACTGTGGATTGCATGCCTCCACACAAGCATCAGAAAGTCAGATTTTTTAAAAATAAACCTAGCCATCTTCAACACAAAGATAGCTATAGTTTTAAAGGAGCACGCTGTTTGAAAAAACTCACCACTCTCTTTTCCCGAAAGTCAATGCCCACTGTTGTGATAAATTTGGAATTAAATTTGCCATCTGTGTACTGGTAAAGAAGGCTGGTCTTTCCTACTCCGGAATCACCGAGCGCTAGAAATTTGATGAGGTAATCGTAGTCCCCATCAGACATAGTGGGAATTCAGGAAACACCTTAGAAAGCAAAGCAAAAAGCATTAGTTATTGAATAACTGTGCAAAGGCATCTTTTGACACATGTTTAAAATACAAGTCACTATTTGAACTACAAAGCATCCAGCAGTGGGACCAACTCTGCACTCTTCCACAATGGTTTCACATTAAACTCTCAGTTATGGCAGGTATCAGTATCAAGTTCAGCTGAAAAATGCATCATTTATCTTTTGTAACACTCCTCTTACCGCAAAGAGGAGGCAAAACAATTTTAACTTCTTCGAGACAGACCAAAATCCAAGGTCAAAGAAAACCATTCAAGGTATCTGCAGCATGAGTTGCAGAACTGTTTTAATCTATGTGGAAGCTGGTAGAAGCTACCTTACACATACCAGCAATATAATTCTGATTTTGCTTTCACTGTGAGATTATTAACATACAGGAATAATTCACTTTAGTTTTCAGATTCCACCTGATATTTAAATAAAAAAGCACCATACTGCCTCAAACACTAGTCATTCATTGAACTTTTTATGAATAACAACAAGAGGCTCTCAAAGTAGTTTAACTAAAGTTGGTTCATGTCTTCTTCTGAATGATAGCCATTTTCCATTAATAGCTATGTTTCAGTGTCAAAAAAGTCCTTTTATACCAGGAGAAAAAATAACCAAGCAACATTTTCTTTTAGTTTGTAGTGAAACAAAAAAACTATTTTCAAATTTTAAAAGTTGTATTCCTGATAGTAACAAATCATTTAAACTAAGTCTTCATACCTAAACGTCATCAAATAACACACACATTTTTCCACGGCCTATACGCATTTAAGACATTTCTCTTTATTTTTTCACGCCTTTGAAACAATAATCGCTTGTAAGATACACTCTGATCGAAGTGCAGTAACTAGCTAGAATTTACAACACAATCTCTGCAAATTGTAACGTACACTAGAAAGACTGATTTAAGTGCACTAGTACTTTCCCGTTGAGCAGCTACTGAGCCTCACTTCCCCCAAAACAAACAGCAGTGAGCTGCCTCATGTTGTTTTCAAAGAAATGAATGCAAAAAGAGAAGCTTAAAATAACCAATCTAAAAGCAGAAGAAATCTGGCATAAGACTACCTCTTTTAAAGGAGGGAAATAAGTAACAAAATACAAACAAGATAGATGATGAAATTAAAGACAAAAAAGTAAAAATTTCTGTTTCAAGAGTAAGTAAGTATTATTAGAACTGCTTGTAGCTTGAACTAGATGAAACCATTTGTTGCAAGTCATACACAGCAGCAGTTTGCATCAATGGCAAAACACCAATTCGTTTCTTGAATATCAATTCACAGCTTGAGGTTTAGAACAAACTCCGTTATCTCAGGTATGTGGGTGTCAATCACCACCATTAAACTAGAAGCAGAATTACCTGTAAAGCCTTGACATTATGCCAGTTCTGCTCACAGAAGTGTGATCAGTCGACTTAGCCACTACTGGACTAACCACGATCCAGTGGAGACAACGGTCAAGTTTGACCAACACGTTCTCCAGCTGAAGGGTCAGTGGGAAGCTTTTGACACCTTACTGCCACTTCCAACCTTGCAATCTCCCTTCTGCCAGTCAAACCATATTTTACATTATGCCGTCCACCGCAGTGAGACCGTGCAGCAATAGGGCTGAACTAGTATTAGCTGACAGAGTTCACCCTCACTACCAAGCCACAGCCAGCTAATTCACTTTCCACCGTTGCATTTTAATATAATGTTTTGCAATAGAGTAAAAGGTTGAAACAAAAAACAAAACAAAAAACCAAAAAATGGCAGTAATCACTAACAGCGACGTTTTTACAGAAGTACACCAAAACTGCAGGCCTGCACTCACCATCCAGGTCTGCAGGAGTGGTATCTTCAAGGGAGTAAGTGGAACAGGCAGTGACACACTAACATAAGAACATTTTTAACAGAAACAAAAAGCCTTTATCGATCTAATACACTCACACGTACCAGTAAAAGTTTTTTTAATCTTCTCCCTTCTTGAGGAAGGGAAAAAAAAAAAAATCAGACCATCTACCTTGCAGCTCTACAAAGCCTCTTTTCACTGAAACACATTAGAAGAAAGGGAAAATGTTTTAAAAAGCAAACATGCAGATCTTTTTTTTTTTTTTTTTTAATCAAAGATTAGATATGGCTTAGACTTCTCTATCTTACGCAGTGTTCCTTTTGCCCTCAGATGTTCTGCCAAGAGTAAAGAGCTGTGTAAAATATAGGGCCCCTCTATTCAAGTTCATGCTATTTTAGCTTCAATATCCCTAAATTAATTATCGCTTAAAAAGGCAAATCTTATGGCCAGTATATTACACAAAGATAGGCTAGCATCATGGTTTTTATTAAGCTATTGCCCTCAGACTGAAGTATTTGCCTTGTCTTTCCGGTATTTTGTTAGCTAGCTGTAGGTATACAGAACATACTTCTGATAACAGACAGGAATGATAGTGCCACCTCATCACTGTTAACTAATTTATGTTATAAGAAAGCTAATTTATCTCACCCCCTCTTCAAGACCTTATGGAGGAAGAATGGGCCCTGCAGCAGTATCACTATTAGTAGCACGCTCAGAGACGTGGAAACCAGTCTGGTTCAGGTCTGTTAAGAGTTACGGTAAAACCTCAGCCTCCTTCCACCGAGCCGGGCTGGATAAAAACCTTTGGTTAGACACCAGGGGGTGGGGAGGGGAACACTCTAAAGATATTACTATGTCATATCACATTTGTATTTATATTTGTATAAACAGGCCACACCATGAGGACTGCTTTAACCTCAATCTCCATATGGCTGGTAACAAATATAATATGCAAATGACTAGAAGTGGACTAGGAGCCCTTCACAGCAGAAGCATAAAAAACGTGTTCTCACCAGGGCTCTTGAGAAGGAAGTTCTCTCCTTTGTCTTTTGAAACGCACACACCTTTCACTGCACCCCATAATGTCAATCTATTATTCTAATATCTCCAGGGTGTGGTTCTTGTGAAACCCTACACAGCTAACCTGTCCTTGGAGACATGCAAAGAGTTATTTTCAAAGCAGTTTCAAGCCTTGTCCTCCTCCCTGTACAAATATTTAAAAAGTGATCTCCACCCTCTGCTTCCAAGACTTGCAGTCCTAGGGGCCAGACACATCCATCTCTCTGGTAGAGGAATAAGAATGTACCCACAGCAAAAGTATATTCATAGCAAAATCTGCTAAGGGAGTGTTTAAAAGAAGTACTGAAGTTTCCAGTATTTCACATGCTGTTTATTTAGGGTTTTTTTAAACGTAATTTATTACATGTGGTTATGCTTTCACAGCATAATATTTACATGCGCAGTCACAAAAGGACAGACATAACAGAGTCAAAAGGGAAGCTAGCTTCATGATCTAAGCCACTGTTTTGAAACGCCTACCTCCCTGAACTCAACAGAAGACAACAGGCAGGATTTTATCCCGTCTCTATAACTACTAGCTCAAAGGATCAGATCAGTTATACATCTTACTAATTACACACGCTCACCTTCTTGCAATTCAACTTAAAATATTTCTAAAATGTTAAGGCACTTAAGAATTTCATCAAGCTTCTACTTTGGCAGCTACCTGCTTCCTTGGTCAAAATTCTCTGCTCACCACCGCTTATGTAGTCCATATAAAGTCTCAGCTGCCATTCACTTCTGTCATACTCTGTATTTGTATATATCATGTGGGAGACCTGTGTATTTTAAAATACAGACTCTCACCAGTCTTCATTAAGTAACTGAACACTACTTAGCCAAGTCATGGACCTGTTACTATGAACTCATCTCGTTTGTTTCTTGTCTTTCCATCCACATACCTCTATACCTCCTGTACCAGAAGAGTGGGAAAAAGGAAGAATCAGAGAACGGGGGTTATATACTTAGAATTCATCAGGTCTACAAAAAGAAAAAGAAAAGTCTGAAATCACTGTAAAATGATCATTTCCCAAAATTATTTTTAAGAGTAACAACTCCTTAGCTGAAAAAAAATGGAAATAGTTTAGACTCCATAGCAAGCCCTCCAGTGTTTCTCCTTTTGTAACCTCCCTCCCCTGCGTCCTTTTCAACTCCAGCATTGCACATAGCCTAGCACTATGTGCTATGAACAAGTACCACTGGCCTTTTACATTGCTGATGGGACCTTTACAGCCGTTACTTAATATGCGCTGGCACAACTGTTCCCACAGACTTGTCCCACGGACGCCCGGATCACGCTACCTCGCCAGAAAGGATGCTCTGCAAAGCAAGCACTGCTCCTGTTCAGCGCAGTTACCAGTCCCAGGGAGTTTCACATTAACAGGCATCAGTGTTACAGGCTCATATTTTTGCCTCCAGGACTTAAATATCACAATCCTACTGTGCAATAAAACACATGAGCAGCATTGTTCCTGGATAACCTGAGGAAATTGGCTTGGCATGCAGGATTTCTCCTGTGCAGTACAGGAGAGGGAATACACTCTCTGAACAAAAGGCCTTGCACAAAACATGCAGTTCCTGTGCCGTTTCACAGCTAGGGGAGGGAAGAAAACAAAGGGAGAATGAAGCCCAAAGTAATAATATACGAAAACATAAGCAAAAATAAGCATTAATCTACAAATGAAAGTTTACACAGACATACAGAGCGAAAAAGCCAGGAAATCCGTACAAGCTCTTAATCAGGCACTCCTCAAGCACATCAATTGAAAATAAAGTGCACCACTTACCCCAAACACTGCCAAAGGAATAGTTAGGGCTACCTGGAGACACTACTGCTAGTAGGAGGACTTTGTAGCACCTCCTGTTCAGCACACAGCCGCCAAGCTTACGTGTCACCTGTTTGCATTCATGCTGATGGGTGCCCGGAGATAAAGAGGTGTGCCTCGAGTCTGAGGAGGGTGCTGCTTGACAGAGCAGCTGGGAAGCAATTACACAGTTCACATGTCCCATTTGTTCCTAAAGGCAAACAGCACTTCACAAGAGATTTATGCATGACCTACCTAGAAGCAGACACAAAATATCTGCTAAACCTCCCACAAGCAGTAAAACATCTTTGCGTGAGAACATTTCTTGTTAGAAACAGCGCCATTGTATTAACGATGCAGTACATGGATCACAACTGCTCAGTTCTGCTCATAGCTTTATGTCTTTCTCTCCCGGGTGAGAGGAGGATGACAGCAACCTCTAACGCGAGCTGCTGGTTTTTATATTTCTGCCTTGTTCAGAGAGGTTGGAGCACACCTTGCTGCCCCATTGGTACCACGGTGAAAATCAGCTTTACCAAAGATTTCTAAAGAAAACAGAAAAATTATTCCTCGGCAAAGTCTGAAACTTAAAGGAATCAAGTCTGACAGACTTCAGACCACACCTGCAACACCACCCCATCTCACAAAGAAGCAATATATATTTAAATGAGATCATTGTAGACAAAAGGTAAAAACACCAGAAACATCTCTTTCTGGGTCCTTTCCACACCACTCCACTGAGCCCTCCAAGAGCAAAATCTATTATTCTGTATGAAAATATTACAATTAAACTATCTGACTCAACCCACTCGGTCCCCTCATGCCAAATGAGAAGACTATTTATACATCTCGGACATCACCCTAGTATCCCAGATCTGCAGCACAGCCAAAGTTATTTTCTAAATACTGTGATATATCAGGCACAACCATAAAGGCACAAAATAATTAGAATTCGGCAAGTAACACAGATTAGGCCTATAATTAATTCACATTTTAAGATATCACAGAATTTCACCACATTGTTCTTCGGGGCAGGGGGCAGCCTCTTTTATAAGTTGAAGTTAACTTTAACAGTCTCCAGCTTCTGCAAGCATCACTGCTTTGAGGTACAGATGAAGACAGACAAGTCATGTCCTGGTCTTGCCTTCTCTGTTCAGGAAGCCTCAACCCTGCTAGAACAGAAGGAAACGTACCGGGCTGCATCCTGGATGCCACGCTACAGCGAAGTCTGCATGCTCTCCACGCAGTGCAGAACATCCCACCAAAAAAGGCATGAGCGCAGTGAAGAAAAGGGATATATATTCTTAGAGATCTATCATAGCAAGAGTAGCATGTGATAGGAGAAAGAGCCTCTACTTTAAAAGCTTCCACCATATTCATATATAATGGAACCATATTTGTAAATATACTGTGAAAAAAGGTCCAAAAAATGCTTTGAAAATGAAGGTTTCCCCAAATATGGCTTTATTCTTAAAATAGCAGCTGAGGCTTCACGCTCATCATGAAAGAGCTGGCATGTGCATTGGACGAAAGGAGTCCAAGCCCCACACAGACAGAAAAGGAAAATACTGCAGGTCTCTCAATAGCCAATGTGGGAAACAAAGCACAGGGCAATAATGCAGTTATACAGGTTTGAGCATTCTGCGAGCGCAAGTAAATTCATACTAAAAAAAGCTTCTCACTTAGGTGGTACGCAGACTTAATGAACTAACTTCAATAGCCGCTTTATATGTCACCTGATCAGTCGCAGCAGAAGCCCAGAGAAGGTGACCGGGACAGCAAGGCAAGGGGTGCCGTTCAGCACCCCGGCGCACGCGGCGGCGGAGCGGGGACCGCACTCCTGCCCGCGCAGCCCAAGCGTGGCAAATGGCCTCACCCTGCTCCGCGGCAGCAGCGGCACCTCAGCGCTTGCAAAACTGGTCAACGTCAGACACTTGCCAGCTCTGGGGTAAAGACGGAACAGGGAGTTAAGCACTTTTCCTTGCCAACGCTGTATAGCAACTGCCTTTGGCTAAAAGCTGCCAGATACGTACAAGTGTGACAGAAACAAATTATGACTTTTTTTTTAATCAAACAACTGCTATGCCGGGGGAAGAAAGTTAATAAATAAGCACCTTACAGTTCTGAAATATTTCAAGCTCCATTATTTCTTTCTTAGGAAAATATGACTTGGCTTGCTTTAATTTTGGCGAAAATGACACTTTCTGTGACTTCTGGGACTTCTCTGTAATATAAATAACAGGAAGGAAAACACGCTTTCCTCTTACAAATGAGAGGAAGAGATTCAGTTACTCTGAACATTTATCTTTTGGTTACTCTCCATTGTTTTAGCTTTAATTGACATTTCACTGTCGTGCCCTTTTTAAGCGTCAACTATAAAGGAATTACAAGGAATTGTAAGATCAACGTCAACGATTGCCTCTTTCTTGGAAGGATCTAAGTAATTTTGAGGTGCTAAGGCACATACAGGATTCTGCAAAAAACCAGTGCGAGAGGTGCAAAGCTTTAGTTCCCAAATGCTGATGTCACTTCTGTCCCATCTGTTCCTACCTCCGTTCTGGAAGCGCAAAATCTTGCGCAGGAAGAACAAGAATTGACAGGCACACAAAGCACTCTGAGAATGAGTTACAAGAAATGCCAGACACAAAACCATGATCTCCCAATCAGAAAGGGGGCACAAAAGGGGTAAGTTAAGCAACAGGTTTGCAGATGTGGTGAGAAACTTCTACCTTGCACAACAGGGCAGGCAGGAAAACAACAGATTCTGGATTTCGTTTCCAGAAAGCAAGTGGAAACTAGGAACGGAGAAGCCAGGAAAGGAAACAGCAGTTAGTTTTGCAACTACATTTGCATTTCAGCATAACCAAATCGAAGAAAAGGAGGTTGAATTTCAGTAGAGGAGGGCTCAGAGTTATATATATAGGAATGAAAGGCAGGATGTAACTGGAAACAATTGGAAAATAAGAAGAGGAGTGTTGCAGGGGATACTCTCAATATCATCCATACTGAAGTATCTCCGTGCAATTTCCACACCTCCGCAAAAACGCAGCAAAATTTATACTCCTGCATCAGCTTTTCTTTAACATTTACAGTGTTTTTTGTAAGAAAAGACTGTAGCTAAATAAGGATTCGCAAAGGTATCTAGTGAAAACAGTTAAACTCCGAGAGGAGCTATATCTGTTGGGGGAACAAGAGCTTCTGCCTCCCAGGTTACCTCTCTGAACCGCCATCAGCACTTGCTTTTAGGTTCTAGCAGTGAAGCAATGGTCACACACGTGAGTAAACGCCAGAGTAGACAAAGCAAGGCAAAGATTTTTTTAAAAAACAGCTCCATACTGCTTACTTTTTCCTCAACCATTCAGCTGTTCCTCTGCTAAAGCCCTAGAGCCATAATGCATCACAAGTTTTTGTGCCATGCTTTTCACTAACTTATAAACATGAATTCCACGCGAGACCAGGCATCTTTCCTTAATTTGACAGTTCTGACTGCTTCAGGATCCAGCTCACGCCTTACCTACCTATAACCTTAATACCTGTGGCACATCACAACCCTGTATTTGCTCTTGACAATATTAAGAGGTTACGAGCAACAAAGCAATACATAGACTTACACATAATTTCCAAGCCTTTCAACTTGAGGGGCCTGGCTGAGAGGTAAGAAAAACATATAATCTCCAAGAGCAACAAGACCAGAAATGCAGCTAATACAAACGTGCTGGTGGAGAAATAAGGCCAGATGGTTACAAGAAGAAATTAAGAGTTATCACAGAGGTAGTACATGGCACAAGGATTCCTGGCCAAAGGTTTGCAATTTTGGTACGGCCAAACAGTCTCAAAGAAAGAGGCGGTATCTGACCTTAAAACAGATTGACACAGACTTCCTAGAATACGCTGATACCTCTTGACTTCGTTACAGCTCACTGGCCTAAAATGCTCAGCATTTTACTCAGGCTGGTGAGCTCCCTCTTCAACAGCAGGTCAGGCTGTACAGGACGGCCATATCCACCTCCTCACAGAGCTCCATGTACCTGAGTTTGCAACACAGGAGCCACCAGATTTCACCCACAAAGCTGCTCATATGCACAAAAGCAGGGAGATATCCAGAAGATTGCTCACCCACCTATTCAGCAACACTGACAGGGCAGGAAATTTCTAACTCCAAGAGAGTAAAGAAAAGCATATACTCTTATTTCAGCCATCAGAAACAGCTGCTGAAAGATAACAGAGAAAATATTAAGAATCACAGAGCATTACAGGAATTGAGTATTTCTTTAAGCGTTGATTGTGTTTTCCTGGAGATAAAAATCTCCAGCAGATAGCTGGAATAAAAAGACAAATGAGAAAGCTGTGTACAAGGGATAAGAAAAGGTAAAAATCTAAAAACAGAAAAAGAAAACAACTTTTCACATGCACAGTTAGACTATGGACGCAGTGATATCTTAAAGAACCCATGCGCATGTATATATGCTAAAGAAAGCACTGGATTTTACGCTTGGCCTCCGTGCACGATTCAGTAGACTGCCACGCACACTAGTCAGGCCAAGTTCTTTGTTTATACCCCTTAAAGCACACACTCCTTAAACAGCCAGAGGAAAATATTCTTTAAAAATGTATTTATATTTTAACTCCTCCGGGGTAGGAAAGTTCTCAGCTATCTTTTACCTTGTTCTGGAAGACAGATATCTGGAATACAGATAAGGTCTCTCTCCAAAAGGTCACACTGCCAAGCTCATGAAGGCTACAGGATACATGCTGCATTACAGGGAAAGGATCTGGCAGAGATAAATGATCATGATTAGGTCATTAAGAGTCTATGGGGAAGGTCAGGCAACAGACAACCTGAAGATACCTACTGATCACTGCTACATAAATCTAAAACTCACGCACATATGACACAAATTGGACTATAAAATAAAACTGGATAATTCACTTGACGAGCTGTGGATAAGCATATGGAAGGGGTGGGGCAGGAAAGAATTTCAGTGCAGAATTTAATTCACTTTCTTATCCTTTGGTTTCAGAAATACTTGTTTCTCTTGTTTTTCCTAGGAGGTAAATTCTGTTCCCTGCTAAGTGAGATTTTTTTTTTTTATTGGAAGATGCAACAAAAGTTACTTTGCTTTTTGCCAGCTGCTACTACTCCTTAGCATTACTGCTTTTCTACAATGTTGCAATATGTCCTTATTTTTGGAGCAAGTTATTTATTTAGTTCAACCACGGGCAGGTAGGAGGAGGAAGCAGTATATAGCATTCCCTGCCTCCTGTTCTGGCTGTTTATTCCTCAGTGGCTTCACGGTTTTCTCATTGCTTAGATGGCATAAAAGTGTCCAAAGATTTTTAAGTCCACCAGAAGTAAGTTTGTCTACACCCGCCAAATGACAGGAAAATACCCCGCTACCAGGCACCCTAACCGTTTTGGAGCACAACTGATGGCTTAAGTCACACTTCCAGCACGAGTGAAAGGGTCCTGTCTCATGCTGACAGCCTTTTTCTCAGAAAACTTACTGGCTAACAAAAGTTATTGACTGAGTAACTAATCAGTATCCATTTGTGATGAGCTGGAAGATCTGTATTATTTAGGAATCCTGGACACGACACTAGGAATAAGAAGTTATTTGTGGAAACATTCAGTCGAAAGGTTTCTTAAATGGACCTAGCAAAAAAAGGCAAAATAAGCTTATAAATATCTGTGCGAAAATAAGGGAGCCTGCCAGTTGAGAAACACCCTCTCTACTAACTAGAAAAATCTGTTCTTCCTATTCCTTAATGCAGGATCTGACATGATCAGACTTGAAGCAAGAGGGACAGTCAGAGACACAAAGCAGGGAACGAGTGCCTGCGGATGGGGATGGAAGGAGGCGGCCAGACCGATAAAACTGGGGCTCACAGCAAGCATCCACTTCTGCCAAACTTTGACAAATCACTAGCTCTTGACAGAAGCAGTCTGGCAGGTGCTGAGCTCACCGGGCCAACTAGAGATCACGCTGGCAACCACCGCAACGTGGACACAGTCAGGGCCTTGCAGGCTGGCTTCAAAGAAATGGAGGAATGGGCCTGTCACCTGAATAATCTACTCTTAAAGGGTGTCTCAAGAAGGGCCTGAACCCCTGTATTCAGAGCCTCTAACAGCTGCTGTCTCAGAGATGTCTTCTCAGCCAGCTCTGTGCAGTGTGTTTGAGTAAATATATGTCTGGAAACTAATTAGCATGCACGATGCTTTCATGTTTCATAAAAGCTGTAAGAAGTTAGAAATACTTTGGTAAGCATACTCTGGGCATAATTTATCCGTTCCATAATAAAACATCAGTTCTGCCTGAAACGCACACAGGCTGTAGTCAATAGGCACCTACCTGTTCTCTTTGAGGCGTTATTAACTGGCAACAGAAAAGCAGAAGTCGTATCTGTCACAGCAGGACACAGTCAGCTTTGGAGCCCTGTTTGCAGCTCAAGGGCTTCGCTCAGTCTTTTCTCACAAAGCAAAGCTAAAACTACAGCATACTTTTTCCGTAAGAATTTAAAAGTCAGCCCACTCTTTCAACAAGCCACGAAATCTTTCACTTGTACAGTTGCACAACTACAATGGGCATTAACACTGTCCAGGCTTTCTGTTGAGGGTCTGCAGCCTGCCAAAACGTTTAGACAGTTCTTTGGTAAAACGTTTGCCTCCACCCATATCCCAGCACAGCTTCTTTGCTAGAGCCTCAGGGAAGGCACAATTCAAAAGAAGCACCAATTAATTGGGCTGAACAGCACAACACAAAGCTTCCATTCAAAAAGCCTGTTGTTTTGCAACCCAAGTTGCCAACATTATTCATCTTGTTTCTCTGATTAGAATCTCATATTCTAATGTGAATTATAATCCAGCCTTGACACACAGCAAGGACGGTTCAGATACTCAGCACAGCAAACCATGAGTTCTTACACGAATTCTTCTCGTGGGGGTATGCATGAGCCTTACAAAGAAAGCAAGGAGAATCACAAGTCTGATGCCTCCCTTCATCTGTGTTACTTGTTCCCGTTATTGTGGGCTTGCAGGCACCAAGAGGGCTGCAGAAGAGCACCCCGGCTGAAAGCTGGCAGCTGTTGCCAGGGCTTTTCACGCTGTAGAAGCCTTCCTGCAGAAGTCTTTCTTAAAATTTTAGGCAGATATACAGTTTCCCTAAGTTTTGCTTTCACAGAGAGACCTGGCATACAGTAACAGGAGATTTCCTACCTCTCTCCCACAAACCTTCAATTCAAATTATTTTTCAGAATGTTTCTGCTATAGCTAAGCAACAGCTTAGCAACAGTGAGCTTACAGCTCACGGGAGGCACAAGGGTGCAGGTTTTTCTGAAACCTGTGTTTCAGAAAAAATATACCAAGTTATTCTAAGAAAACAAACCCTCAGTCATCAGACTTCTCTAATTGATCCCAGCAGTTCCCCGTATAAAAGTATATCAAAAAAATCTCATACGCTGTTTTCATATCATGGTGGATTCAGTCTGCTTTCCTAACTGAACAGCAAGTATGAAACTCTTTAGTAAGAGTCAGAAAATCTCAAGCGAACTGTAACCATCTAACTTCAGGTAGTGATTTATGAGTAGCTTTTATATTCTACATTATGACCAAGAAAGGCATCAAACCTCTGAAACGAAACATGCGATATAAAGGGCAATTAGGTACAAAAGAATCTACTCAGCCATGGATTTCTACCTGCAAGTCGTAAGAAACTGGGAGCATGCAATGCACCGTCCAGGAAAGTTTCTATTTCAAAAGGCTGTTAAAGTAGGCAGTGCTGTTTCGTCTTCTAATAAAACATTGACTTTATTTTGCAGTGTTTGGTTTGACTTAAAATCAGTGTGTATGATTTCCTATAGAAGGAAGTAAAAATCTAGCAGTTAAATTCCAATAAAAACAACTTCAGTCTGTGAAAAAGAAAATCTCAGTTAGCATGAATCAGTACAGCCCTGCTGATGTTTGTGGAGCTATGCTAACATACACCAACCGAGACTCACTCCCAGACAATTCCCAGACAATTCCCAACTCCCAGACAATTCCCAAAGATCCCAGTTCTGCTTCTATTTATGACAACAGTTGCACCGTACTGCATCAAAACTGAATTTTTGTAAAAAGACCTAATTCCTAGGACACGCTCCCTTCACAAAATTCAGACGCAGGAGCTAAATTATTTCCTGGTTACGAAGCCAAACATTTTTAGATCAAAGACCTAAGTTTTAGACCTTAATTTTAGACCTAAGTTTTTCTTCTTAAGAAGTTACTTGAGTGGAATTCATGTTCATGATTCTCCTAGGACCTACTCCAGGTCTTCTTTTTCCATGAATGGCCTGTAGGATGTTTTGATTCCATTCTTAAATTCTGTGTAGGAGAACTTAAGCTATCAGACTAACTCCCAACAAAAATCTCTACCCTAGAATGTGCTAGAAATAGCTTCTGAACACAGAACATTCGACAAACTTGTAATGCAGTAATTGAAAAGCATTATTTAATAACAATAAACTACAATGAAGTAAATATGATAACCAATTCATCCAGCACAGCACAGGAAAAAAATTACAGCAAGTCAAGCATAAGTGTTTACTAAAAGCCTTGGTCACAGCTATTTATTTAAGCTCTTTTCATATACTGTACGTATTTATAATGAAACAGCAAGAAGATACATTTGTGCAGCTACATTTATGAATTTGTCACCTTGTCCTCATAAACCTAAGTCAAGGGGTGATGATCAGGACTAGAGAAATAATCTTAAGACACTCCATGCAAGACATCAATTACATCGCTGGGGAAGTCTTGTGACTTTGCCACAGAGGTGGTGGAGAATACAGTTTTCTGATCTCTGAACAATTCCTCCTTGACTATTTACAGTCTGCAAAAGCTGGAAATTTTGTCCTGTAACCACAGTTAGAAACACACTGACAAATCCTTAGGCTAGAAAGGATGCCTGATTACAAACTCATGCTTAGGATGGCAGTGTAATCAGACAGGCAGTTTCTAGTTTCTTCCCAATGAGATAAAAAATACAGTAATAATGTCCCTCCCCCATATTTCCTTTACCATAATTAATTTTCAGACTGAAAGCACTACTAAATGATTGAGAAAGGAATATGAACTAGATGAGCTTTCATGGTTCTTTGCAGTCTATTTTTTTAAGTTAGAAAAGAACAGACTGCACAACAATCCATTTTATTCCTTCTATCATTTATTATATGTGAGAGCGAAAACACTGGTGTGCAATCCAGTTAAAAAAACATCACCACACTGAAGGAAATAGATTTCAAGAACAGTGCTAAAACAAATGCCAAAAAAAAAAAAAAGCAATCCTAGGAAGACTGAAATTATTTGTTAAATTGGGTCCAGTGTAGTAAATAGCGTGGTAAAATGAAGAGAGGGAGGAAGTTTTGAAAACTGTCACAACAGAGTTTAGGAAAAATGAGTGAATAGTCTGGCCTGGCATCTTCAAAAATGAGACAATTTGCCTTGTTTCAAAACCGACCTTATTTAACAGCAACCAAAAGAAATACATATAAAATTCTGTTTTGATTTAAATTGTAAGTCAGCCCGAACCAAAAGTGTTTGGGTAGACTCAGGACAGAAAGTTTTCAAGGACAAAATACAAAGTGGAAATTTACACTGTAGTATCAACGTAACTCATTTCTTTCCTCCTCCATTTTATGTTTCAGCCATCCATCAACAAAATTCACGTTACTTGCCCAGATTTCCTCAATAAATTGTTCTAAAATGCAGCGATACAACACATGCCCTACCACCCACACACAGCAGAAAGCTTCCTTTCAAAAGTTGTCTCCCTTCACACAGAAGGTCCAAGCCTGCACCAAAGTCTACTAGCACAGATCAGCACGGGCATGCAGAGTCTCACTTAACATAAAAACAGCATCTCAATTTATCTTTACATGTAGTATAACATATAACAATATATAAAAGTATAATATATGTTTATATATAGTAATGAGAGCATAGGAGTAAATGCAGGAAAAAAAGTTTCAAGCAGCACAACATTTAAAAATACCGAGTTAACCTCTTTTAATACAGAAGAAAGTATTTGCACAGTATATTTTGCTATCCAAGACCTAATCCCATCCTCTAACCATAGGACATATATATAACCTATATAATTCTTTCACACTAAGAAATGCCAGCTGACAGCATGAGACCAGAAGGGGCATCTTATCGTTACTCAGTGCAGACATTGGCCATTGCAGTCATTTCTTTTAATCTCAGTGATAAACTTACCAAGACTCTCTTTCAACCAAGGTGACCTCTTTCCCCCAGTGTCTTACAAAGAGGTTAAATCCAGCTCAGCTAAACCAGAACCATATTATGAACCAGAAGCACCTTTCCACTGCATGGTACTTGCCTGAGACTGAAGCCAAGATAATTAAAACAGCATTATCTGGGTTTTTTGCTCTTAAAGCTTTGATACCACGCCAGAGGGAACATCCTCTTCTTCTACCCTGTTAGAGCCCTCTGCTATTTTCGCTACCAGCACTCTCACACATCCTTCCAGTTTACCTCAGACTGATTCATGCTCCAAACATTTACCAATTGCTAAACCTGGCCAGCAAAAAACAATAACAACGACACACCAAAGAGCCGCAGTTTTGTTTGTCATTTAAATCTGAAGAATACATTTTACATAAACCAGTATACGTCACAATTTTGTTCACTTTCCCCTCTAGAAAATGAGGATTCAGTAATGCTGAACACGCTCAGAATAAAAATATTTAAGTTCATTTGTCAGAAATACAGCAAATGTTTCTTTCAAAGCTCTTAGCGCAGCAAGAGTTGGTCACAGAAAAACCGTCAGCTCAAGAAAAATAATGTAATAAGTCTTTTGAAATTAAACAAGAGAAAGCATTTACATACCTCAGCTTAACAACAGCAAATGGATCTGTAGTATTTCAAGCGCGCTTCAGCAATGAGTTTCCTGACACAGCTCAGATCTCTTGAATACCATAGTCAGGCAAAGAGTTGCTTTTCATCTACAATTGGTATCAGCAGAAAGAGAAAATAAAAACAGCGTATTTTAGAACGGCTCTAAAATTTGCCCTGACAAGCAAAGCTGCCAGCCCCACGCAACCCCCTGCCCACCTAATTACTTTCAGCTGCTTGTCATGTGGCCTCGCTGCCTGATCAAGTGATCTCTTTTCCTCCCTTGAAAACTAAGCAAAGCAGTTGACTTGGTCTGCCTAAACCAGATAACAACCATTGATTCTTTGCTTAAAGCAGCGATCCCTCTACCCCCTTCCTGTCAGAGCAAAGTGAAAGTGGCAACGTTTCATTAAAAAAAAAAAAAAGGCTAATGTTGTAGTCTACCACGATGAGATGCAGCAAGCATAAAACAAAAGCACCCAAAACTTAATGGAGAGTTTCAGTTTTGAGCCTGTTTTTATGCCTTGACAGATGACAGAAGTCGTTGCCTGCAGCAGAACTAACGCAAGGACACCATGGTAAGACCACATGAAAAGGAGCTGAAAGTCCCCGCTCGCAGAGGCTGGGGGGGACATTAGAGACAGTGACAGCAGAGAGGGAGCTCCAGAGGAGGACAAAACCAGTCTTGTCCTCACGGCGCAAGATCTAACAGATGTGAGCTTTTACAGATGTCACAAAACTTTGTCTTGGTTTCAATGAGAGCAGAGGAGTAAGCAAGGAAATTAAGGAAGTTTCAAGGAAGTTTCTATTACTATTCTCCAGTCTTATTTAAGAAGTGACGCAGACAGCCCGCTGCAACATTTCACATGTCCTCAACACGTTCAACTACCAGTAACAAAGACAGCTCCACAAGCTCCTGAAATTCACTTGTCTCAGTGCTCAACTATGTCATCTCCTTTCCTGCAAATCAAGGCAAAGGTAACAGCCCTTTCCTCAGTGAACACGCAAGTGTTCCTATACAGAGATGGTGAACTATTATTTATGCTAGAACACTTTTTCTACTTCCTACCTTGGTATTTTTCCTTCCAGATTTAACTAAAATTAATTTCTTTGACCTTTCGTTACGGGTTATAATTTTTAAACCTCTAACCATTTCTGGCTCAGTCCCATCTGTCTATAAATTTCACCACAGTTTAAGAAGAATAAAAGAGTCCCTTTTTTGCTTCCATATATAGTAAAAAAAAGTTGGCACTCGGTTTTTGGAAATGTGAATATTTTCAACTTAGCCCTAACTGCTTCCCTGATCAATACCAGCACAGTTGTTATTCTGAAGGAAAATTTAGACCACAGTGCAGGAGAATTTCCTATATCTGTTCTCGAGTACAGAAAGAGGAACAGGATAAGAAGTATTGATAGACAAAGCAACAATTCTTTTGCCATGTTGCAAACAGCCCTGGGGAGCAGCTGCACACACTGAACACACCAACTGGAAGTCAGTACAGGTACAGTCAAAAAGGTATAGTCAAAATAAGCTTATTTTACTACGAGTGAAGTTACATTGATCTAGAACTGCAGAGTCAGTGCCAAAATAGAGGGCCCCAGTTTGCAAAAGGGACAGCATCAGCGCTGTTACTTAAAGGCTCTGTTTTTAGGTAAAGCACATTTGCAGCGTCTCAGCAAATGCTTCACAAATAGCTGAGCTGACCTTCCTGCAGAGGCAGGCAGTGAGAGCATACGCTACGGCATAAGCTGGAAACAGGAACCACTGCAGGCAGCCCAAGGTAAGCCTTCCTCTCTCTCTTATCCTAATCTTAGGGATTACTAAGTGACTGGACATTTTCTAATGTATATTTAGGAGACCACATTTACATCAGTAAAGTCCTGCAACAGTGAAATGTAGCTTTGAAGCTACAGCTCTACAGAGGAATGGCCAGCTATGTTAGTTACTAACTTTTCCTGCAGTTTTCATGAAGCCTTTTTGACAAGACAGTGCACATGTTCAGAATTTATGACCTTCTTGCAAAAGTTATCTGTGCTGTACAGGTCTAGGAAGTTAGGAGATAATTTGAGGAGAGGCAAACACATTTGTACACTTCGGAGCATTCTTCACCCCAAGCGCGAGCAAACTTGTTTCCATGTAGGCTGTGCTCTTGAGAAAAGCTGTAAACGTCCAAACTGTCCCGTAGCGGGTGTTTTCCCAAGAAGAAAGTGCTAGATTGTTACCTGTCTTACCAAGTAGCTTCCAGTGAAAAAATTTGAGAAAATTGGGAGATCTGATGCAATGAACTGCAAAGGAAAGCTGACTCCACTGGCACTGAAGTTCAGCTCAGATGAATGCTGACCAGCTGCCACATGACTGAGCTTGCTACTTACTGCCACCGCAGTCCATAAATGCAATAATATGCCAATATTCCAAGACAGCATTAAAAAGACCTGAAAGGATGAGATAAAATCATTATGCTGACCTTTTTTTGCTTTCCTCATACCAACAGCCCTCCAGGGGAAAAAAAAAAAAGAAAAAAAAAAGCAGCTCATACTCAGAAGATCAGTTTTCACACCAGAAATGTAATAGCTTAACTGTGCCAGCATCAAATTGTGCAATATCCTTTCAGTGATTAAAATGAAAGTAGGTCAGGCAGCCCTCCTGCAACCCAAGAGGCACCTCTAAAGAGACAGAGTGACATCTCTGCTAACTATTTGGCAACTATAAGCCAATCCAGGCAATTACAAGTGATCACCAGGGAGCTCATTTTTAGAACTGCAAGAAATGAAGTATCAGCATGTTTAAGGTCGGTGGCTTTTTAAATAGAAAATAGCTTCTTAAGAATAGCCTGTTCCAAGTTAGACTTTAGATGACTATCTTCCAAGGGTTACAGTAGTCCCTCCAAGAATAAAATATAAATATAACACTAAGATAATACACACTTTAAGAGCATTGATTTTGTTTTCTTAGAGCATCTCACTGTCTAAAGGCAAGAATCCTTGCTATCAACTGAGCACTCGACAGCCGCAGTTTGGAAAACCTCAGACAAAATTCTGTCATCTTTCTGCAGGAGAAACAACAAAAGATTGCTTCCAGAAAGCCACTCTGCTTGTATTTGAAGAACTAGTTAGCATCTCAGAGAGACTAGTTAAATTACCCTAAACAAGCTGATCTAATTGATTTTTTGATTTGTCATTTCTGTTGAGCTACAAGTTTACAGTCTCCACAAGACTTAGTGCTAATAAGAACTTAGCCACAGTTTATCTTGAGGCAAAGTCAAGAGTGCAGATGCCTCCTACAGATCTGAATAAAAAGGGAAAGGTAAGGTTAATTTTTAATTCCTGAAAAGCTTGGGCTCGTCTGTCTTTCTGTTTGATCAGACTTAGCATTAAAAGGACGAACATCTATCATATACAACGTTTTCCTTTAAAATTTCTGAGGGAGAATCCAGTATTCAGCAGATGTAACAGAAGCCAGTCAAGGGACTGCATCAGAGAAGGGTGAATCACGTGTTCTTGCTCTCTAAGAAAGTTCTGAAATATCAGAAAGAAAATACTAGAGAGAATACAGTATCCACGTACAAAGTGTTAAGACACCAAAAAATAGTGAACAAACAGTTATGAATTTAAAACAATAAAATGGAATAGTTGTTCATGAAAATGAACAACCATGATTATTTCTTTTGACCGAACAAATTTTATCCTTTTCTACTTAGGAATTGGTATTCTTGACAACATTCACACTGCTCAAATCACATCATCTCTACTTACAAGAGGAAGATTTAAGCTAGAGATGGATGAAGTACTTAGGCTACAGCTCTTCTGTAGGTGTGACTTACACTGGTTTCATGTTTTGCAAATACTTTTTAAGTGGGTGCCTGATTTCATGAAGAGCTATTCGAAACAGTAATGCATGCAGACAGAAGTGCCCCTGCATTTCGTTAGGAAGCTATAAATACACAATAATAATCTGATGTCTCTATCTTCAGTCTGAAGAGCTACAAATCTCCTCATTTTAGATCAGCGATCTTTATCTACACATCAAAAGGGTTGATGACTAGATGTATTTTTTAAATCAAAAACCTTACAGCTTTTCAGGAAGCTGTTACACCACTGCCAAGGAAGAACAAGCGAACTACAGCTTGCTTGGAATTTTCAATGTTTTACAATCCTATAACGTCAACACTTTTTTGCAAATTCCTTAGATATTTTTATCCATGCTTAAGCTTAACGGATACGCGTTTGTTCTTTGCACTGCCTGATCCTATATGTCATCACCAAGTAAGAAAAAGATACTGCTTTTTAAAAATAATCTCAGCAGAGTCCTCATTTGGACAGCGTCAGGTTTTCTTCCTAACACAAACAAGACTGTTGACGTCTTTTGTAAAACAATTTAATAGGGCAAGTCATCCTTCATTCTCCCCATAAGACAACTGTGTCTTTTCCACTTTAAATTTGTTCTGAAGAGGACAAGTTGAATGGCTTAGTGAACGTACGCTTGTTGAACTATATTTCTACCATAATAACCACAATGCTAAACTGTAGCACACTGAATGCTAGCCAAGGCAGGAGTCTAATAAATTACAATTAGCTTTTAGGAACAGTTCCATCTACAGATGGCCTGATCTTGGTAAAAAATGTCAAGGCTGCCTACAACTATTTTCAGAATTGGTCTATACGCTTAGGAGCCTATTGCCTTATGCTATCAATCTAAATAGAATTTGTTAGGTAATCTCAGCTTAATGTCACCACCTTTTCTCCTATCAAGATAATGTCCATGTAACATAATTAGCCAAGTAGTATCTGTTAAACTCCTTTTAGCATTATTTCTAGGATCACAGGTAAAGACAAGTATATAATAAACTTTGCAATATTTGCTAGAAATAAAAGAAGCTTGCTTCTTCTGAGCTACAGAAAAAAAAAATCCTCTTGTGCTGAATTATTATTCAGTCTTCCATGCAACAAAGCATATGAAACCTCCCTGGACACCTGTAACTCCCATTTTTCCCCTCCACGATAATCATTAACATGACAGTGCCTTCATTCCCACATTTATTCAGTGAGTCCCTAAATTACGCATGCCTAACCTGACTGGTTAATCTTATTTCCTTCAGAGCGTTCAAGAAGA